TGTGTGTGTGTGTGTGTGAGAGACATTGTGTGTGTGTGTGTGTGTGTATTTGTGTGTGTGTGAGAGACATTGTGTGTGTGTGTGTGTGTATTTGTGTGTGTGTGTGTGTGTGTGTGTGTGTGTGTCTCTCAGGTTCTCACTGTCCTGGGAGGGAGTCAGCAGTTTCCTGAGCAGGGGCTGGAAATGGCTGACGTTGCTTTGTCTCCACAGCCTCGTGGCCACCAATGCAGCCAGGTTCAGGCTGGCTGCTGGACCAGGGAAGCGGCTGCTGGAGTTCGGCTTGAGGAGAGCACAGGGCCCGGATGGAGGCCTCTCAGCCTCAAGATACTCCTACATTGGAGGTGAGGCAGATGGCTGTACTCATTCTGTTCCCCCTCCAGGGGGTATTTGCAACACCTCGAGCACACACACCCTCTGATTCTCACAGATGGGTTTCTCCGGCCAAAATTTTGGCAACTGCTGTAGTTTTCAGGATTTTTAGAGTAGCAAAGTCTGGGTGATAACGTCGGTGTTCAAATTCTTCATTGGCAAGCACAGGCTCCATACCCATTCATAACCCAAATCCCAAATCCCAATCCTGAATCCCATTTCCTAAATAAATCCCAATCTCAAATCCCATCTGCTAATCAAATTCCAATATCAAATCCCATTCCCTAACCAAATCCAAATCCCTAATCCCATTCTGTTACCAAAACCCATTCCCTATCTAATTCCTATTCCAAACTCCAATCCCCAACCAATCCCAAACCCCAAATTCCATTCTCTAACTAAATCCCAATCCCAAATCCAATTCTCTGATCGAATCCCAAACCCAAATCCTATCCCCAATCAAATCCCAATATAAAATTGTATTTCTTTAGAAAATCCAAATCCCAAATTCCTTTACCAAATCCCTACACGAAAATTGATCCAAGTGCCAATCCAGTGTCCCAGCCCCAAACTGATCCCAATCTCTAAATAGAATTCTCAATCCCAATCCAGTCCCTGACCTGAAGAGAATTCCATTGCCAAACCCAAAACCAGATCCCATTTGGAATCTAAACACAAATCCTAAACCAAATCTGAGCCCGACCAGCAAAGAGAAAGGCCACTGCAAAGTGTCTCAATGAAGCAGATTTTACGTAGAAAACCTGCCAAGACCCTTCACTGGGACATGATGGAAAAACAATGGATGTAAAATCAAAGATAGATGATTAAATGAGGTTTCCATAAATTTGGTTGAAGAGGTGGAATTTTAAACAGGATCTTACAGATGGATGGAGAGGTTTACGATGGGAATTCTGAGTGTGGGATCTGGACCTGGGGATGGTGGGATATCGCAGTTTAATCCAGAGGCTAGCACAGTCCCCGGGGGATTTAGAATCCCATTATATAGTACATTTGGAATCAAATACTTGTCTGATTCATAACAATCAATAAACTAGCAAATGGTCATGAAAGTACATAGGGTCCAGGGAGGGACTGTCCTTATCTGGTCTGACCTACATGTGATTCCAGACCCACAGTAATGTGGCTGACTCTTAACTGTATAACACTGTATAACTATAAGTGTATAACTGTAACTGTAAACTGTATAACAGTTATATCACACTGGATAGCCCACTGTGCGTGCAGTGACACCGGACACGAACTGTTCAAGAAAGTACCTCACACAGTTACTGCCGTCATCTCAATTTTAATCCAGGGTGACCAACAAATGTAGGCCTAACACACACACATGACATGAACAAATACAAGGTTCCTTCACCTTTGTGCAAGAGTCAGTGACCAGAGGGCTAATCTCATGGTGAGGGGTCATCCATTTCAGACCGAGATGAGGAGGAATTTTTTTCTCTCAGAGGGTAATGAATCTGTGGAATTCTTTACCACAGAGGGCTGTCAAGGCTGGGTCTTTGAGTATGTTCACGGAAATTGAGTCTATTTTGTGGTGAATGTGCGAAGGTGAGCTTACAGAGGGATGTTGTGCAGTTGCAGATTGTGAGTTTGAAACAATTAGAAACAGCTCCAATTCTATTCAAAACCCCAATCCCAGCCAGTAACCCATATAGACCCAATCCTAACCCAAACTCAATATCCCAATCTCAACATCAATCAAGTCCTAACTGAACTCCAATCCCAACCAATATCCCAATCCCAAACTCAACCCAGCCCACCCAAAATCCTAACGCCAACTCCAATCCCAACTAAATATCCCAATCCAACCAATGTCCAAATCCCAACCCTAATTTCAACTAATATCCCAATATAAAGAACAATCCCAAGATTGAAGGAAGAATATGAATGCATTGGAAGTGTTCCAATAAAATATGTTGGACTAGTGCCTGGAATGGGCAGAATGGCTGGGACAGATATTATGGGCCGAATGGCTTTTTTCTGTGCTATAAGCTGTGTATGGTTCTCTGGCCTTCTGAGGGATGCTGGGACAGAAGACTAAGGAGTAAATTGATTGAAACGTACAAGATTCTGGGGGTCTTAACAAGGTAGAACTGGAGAGGAAATTTCCTCTTATGGGAGAATCTAGAACGAGGGATTTGGGGATGACCCATTTTTAACAGTGGTGGGAAGACACATTTCTCACTGAGGACTGAGATTCTTTGGAATTCACGGAAGCAGAGTCTTTGAATATCTGTAATGTAGAAGTCAATAGATTCTTGTTATGTGAGGGGGTGAAAGGTTATCGGGGTGAAAGGTTATTGGAGGACATGTGAAGTAAGCCATGACCTGAATGATGGAGAAGGTTTGATGGGCCAAATGGCTTATACGTCTCCTAAATCATACATATAGTTGCATGAACAGTTGAGACTTCTTCCCAAACCAATTCTAAATCACAGCTTAAAAAACCCAATGCCACTAACCGCAATCCTAATTCCAGTTACAATCCCTACATTCCAACCCTATAAGAATGGCTTTCAGATTTGTGTGTGTATTTTTCTGTTTGTACCTGTTTGTCACTAGGGTTTGACGGCACTAGTAATGTCATCGCTGGGAAACTGTATGGCATTCCACTGTTTGGATCCATGGCGCATTCTTACATCGCTTCTTTCACTTCAATGTCAGAAGTCAAGGTTCAGGTCAGTGCTTCCTTTCACTTGCTCCTGAATCCAGGGATATGGTTGTCCATAATGGTACTTGGAATGCTGTAATGATTGAAGGGTATGTTCAGGCTTTCTACAATCTCTAGTTGTTGTTGTTATCGTCAGCTCCTAGTTATCAGGATAGTAATCGATGGTGACAAGATAACCAGTTGTGAGCAATAAGAGGTGCCCACTCTGAGCTTCATCCATAGTCAGTCTGGGATCTCATGCATCATTGAGGGGGTCTCTTTAGTGTCTCTATAATATCCAAACCACTGCCCTGGCTGAGGTGATCCTGAATCTCAATGCTCATATCTGGCCAGTTGAACGTTTCTTTACCTCCCTCAGACTTAATTCCTTTGTGCCTCGCACTTCAACATCTGTTTTCTCATCTCCTCAGGGATAGTGATCGTCCTTCCTTTTTTACAAGATGCCACCTATCCCTTCATCTTGGTGTGCTAAATGCTCTCTCAGAGCGACACATGTGTCCTTGATGCTTTCAGGCAGTCTTTCCACCTCTCTTCCTTACTCTTGGACAGTTGTATCGCGTTGTGTAGTTTGCTCGATTTCAGCATTAGCTTGGACTCTTAGACTCTGTGTCTCTTCTGAGTCAATAATTTCTGGGCCATGTTGAGATTGATTGATTGATTGATTGTCACATGTACCGAAATACAGTAAAAAGCTTTGTTTATGAGCTGTACAGGCAGATCATTGTAAGCAAAGGATGTACAGATCAAAAAGACTTAGAGGCATACAGGTTACATTGCAAGTTACATTATTTGAGGCTATAATCCATTCAATGGTCTGATAACGGTTGGAAAGAAGCTGTTCCTGAACCTGCTTGTATGTGTGCTCAGGTTTCTGTATCTTCTGCCTGATGGAAGAGGTTGTAGGAGGTCATTACCGGGGTGCAATGGGTCTTTGATGATGTTGGGCACGTTTCTGCGGCAGCGAGCCGTGTAAATGGAGTCCATGGATGGAAGGTTGGCTTCTGTGATGGTCTGGGTCATACACACAACCTTCTGTAGTTTCTTATGGTCCTGGGCAGAGCAGTTGCCATACCAGGCCATTATGCACCTGGACAGTATGCTTTCAATGGTGCATCAGTAGAAGTTGGTGAGGGACCTAATGGACATGTCAAATTTCCTGAGCTGCCTGAGGAAGAAGAGGCGTTGTTGTGCCTTCTTGACTGTCACATTTACGTGGGCAGTCCAGGATGGGTCATCGGTTATCGTCACTCTGAGTAATTTGATGTTCTTCACTCTTTCAGCCTCAGATGTAGATGGGGCCGTGTTCTCCTCCTGTCTTTCTGAAGTCGATGATCAGTTCTTTAGTTTTGCTGACGTTGAGAGACAGATTGTTTTCATTGCACCACGTCACCAAGTCCTCTATTTCCCTTCTGTATTTTGACTCGTTGTTATTAGATATTCGTCCCACTATGGTGGTGTAATCAGTGAACTTGTAGATGGCATTCGTTCAGAATGTGGCAACACAGTCGTGGGTGTACAGGGAGTGCAGTAGGGGCTGAGGACACATCCTTTGGGGGGAGACCCCAGTGTTGAGTGTTATTGTGGAGGAGGTGCAATTGTCCATCCTCACAGATTGCGGTCTGTGCGTCAGAAAGCTGAGGATCCAGTTGCAGAGGGTGGAGCTGAGACCAAGGTCACGGAGTTTTGAGATCCGTCTGGAGGGGATAATGGTGTTGAAGGCGGAGCTGTAGTCAATGAGCAGGAGTCTGATGTAGGTGTCCTTGTTGTCCAGATGTTCCAGAGATGAGTGCAGGGCTAGGGATATGGCATCTACTGTGGACCTGTTACGTCGGTAGGCAAACTGCAGGGGATCGAGGCAGGCTGGGAGACTGGAGTTGATGTGGGCTGTGACCAGCCTCTCGAAGCACTTCATGAATATTGAGGTAGGAGCCACGGGGCAGTAGTCATTAAGGCATGTTGCATGTGTTTTCTTGGGTACAGGGATGATGGTGGTCTTCTTGAAGCAGGTGGGGACTTCACCTCGTAGGAGGGAGAGGTTGAAGATGTCGGTGGTCCGCACACGATCTGAGTGTTCGGCCGGGAGCACTGTCCAGGACCGTCACTTTTCTTGGGTTGATTCCCAGGAAAACCGATCTGACGTCTAAAGCAGTGACAGAGGGAACAGGTTTGTTGGGGCAGGAGTCACCATACCCGCTGGCATTCTGCTCAAACCCAACATAGGAAGCATTGAGCGCGACAGGGAGGGATGTGTCTTTGTCCGCTATCCTGCTCTGCTTCATTTTGTATTCCATAATGTTGTTTAGGCCTCGCCGTAGGCAGTGGGAGTCTGTTTGGTAGGTTTGGGCGTCTAACTTGGTCCGGTACTGGCTTTGTGAAGGTCATATCTGGATTTGTTCGCCCAGTTATAGGAAGGATATTATTAAGCTGGAGAGGGTTCAGAAGAGATTTACCAGGATGTTGCTAGGAATGGAGGGTTTGAGTTATTAAGAAAGGCTGGGTCTTTTTTTTACTGAAGTGTAGGAGGTTGAGAGGTGACCTTATGGACATTTATAAAGTCACGAGGAGTATAGATAGGGTTAATGGTAGGTGACTTTTCCCTAAGATGGGGAATTTCAAGACTAGGGGAGACATTTTTAAGGTGAGAGAAGAGAGGTTTAAAAAAGACATGGGGGCAACTTTTTTACACAGAGGATAGTTTGTGTGTGGAATTAACTTCCTGAGGAAGTGATAGATGTGTATACTGTTACAACATTTAAAAGACATTTAGATAAGTACATGAATAGGAAAACGTTTGGAGGGATATGGGTCAAATGCTGGCAGGTGGGATTAGTTTAGTTTGGGATTATATTTGGCCTGGACTGGTTGGACCGAAGGGTCTCCATGCTGTATGGCTCTATGACTCTGTCTACTTTATCCTGTGCCCCAGCACCATTGAATATCCTTAGCAGTGAGCTCATCCATGAGTTTACACTCTGAGGACAAATTAGGCAAGGTAGTTCATGAATCTAACAAATTATGATTTTGCTTGCATCTCACCTTGTTAGGATCTGGGTTTCTGCTTTCCTCGATTGTTAGATTTAGATTTTATTGTCAATGTACTTGAGTACAGAAGTACAGGAGTACAGTGAAAAGTGTATGATGTCACCACACACTGGGCCTTCTGAGGTACAAAGGTACCTAGGTACAAAAAACTTAGGTACAAAGTAGTAAATGCAACAAATTTTAAAAATTTAAGCATTACCTTCATAGAATAAATAGAAAAACGAAGAAATAGGTAATAGTTAACAATGAAGTCCTTCTTAATATAAACTAGAAAAATAAAGGAATAAAGTTAAAAGTTAAACATACTTTGATGAGACCTCCGCTAAGCTCCCTCTCCGGGAGACCTTAGCAGACTGTTCTTGATACCACCCCACACAGCCACTGGTTCTCTGTCAGCATGTGATCAGTGTCCTTGACTTGCAGCAGCTTCAGTGCATCATGTTGTCACTGGGATAAGGCTGCTAATCCAGTTGGTGGAATTTGTTCACTGTCTTTTCCAGCACCTTGACTTTCAGCCTGAGCTGGAGGACATCTGGCCTTGGTCTTTCAGTTGGCTTTACTGCAATAAGATGTTTTTCAACATCTTATTCGCTTGGCCTGGAATATCTCTCAGTGTATTGCAGAACCTCATCTGTTTTTCCATTAGTAAGCGGTAGCAGATGATTGATAAGCTCAGGGATGCTGCACGTATCAATAGCTTGAGATTACGTTTCTCTGCTCTCAGTAGACATGTTCTCACAAAAGGATCTTGCATGCTTAAGAAAAGCCTCTCTCTGATGAGATAATCTTTTAGTTGTCCGAGGTGAAAAGATTCAGTTTGATATATCAATTGGTTTTGTTCTCAGTTCTTCCTCGTTGTTTTTATCAGTAGCCATCTCGTATCTTACATAAGTAAATCAGGATAATAGAACAAAATGCAGAACATAGTGTTACAGTAACAGAGAAGGTGCAGAGAAAGATCAACTCTGATACATGAGAGGTCTGTTCATAAGTCTGATAACAGTAGGGAAGAAATGTTGTTGAATCTGTTGTAATGTGTTTTCAAACTTTTGTATTTTCTGCTCAATGGAAGAAGGTGGAAGAGAGTATAACCGAGATGGGAGGTGTCTTTGATTATGTTGGCTGCTTTCCCGAGGCAGTGGGAAGTATAGATGGAGTCACTGGATGGAAGGTTTGAGTGATGGACTGGGCTGCATTCACAACTCTCTGTAATTTCTTGCAGGTTTGGGCAGAGCAGTTGTCATACCAAACTGTGATGCATCCAGACACGATGCATTCTATGGTACATCTATAGAAATTGATGAGTTTTTGTGGACATGCTGAATTTCCTTAGCCTCCTGAGGAAGTAGAGGCATTGGTGTGCTTCCTTGGCTGTAGCATTTCTACAGTTGGCCACACCTTGGGTTCTTTAGTAGTCTTTGTCATGCCTGAAAAGCTAATGTGGAAATTCACAGCAATTTTTTCTTCCCTCTCATCTGCTAGCAGACTTTGAAACCTGCAACTGAGGGAGAGCCGGAGGTGAATTTTGTCTCTCTGTGCGAGAAGTGGCTCTTTCAGGTCTGCCACCTTCTCCAAATGCCTCAGAATCGAACCAATTCCTCTGAGTTTGCAGCCTTCATCTCCTATGCCATGACTTACCCGGGACACTTCATCGCCCTGGTCGACTCGTACAGTGTAATGAGGTAGAGAGTGGAGTTGGTCATTTTTCTTGTGAGATATCCACTTGACACAGTCTGTTACAATGGTGGCCAGACAGCAGATCATCTCAAACAGTAACCGCGGGGTTGGGGGGTTGGTGACTGGCCAGCTCATCAACTAGAGCTTGGGGAGCTCCTGTTTCAGAGGTCAAATGTTATGGGGTCAAGGCCCGCTCTGCAGCCTGGGGAACCACAGTCAAGGCTGATGGGAGTTCTGCACTGTCGGAGCTTTCTCATGTTTCAACCAGAGTCTATGGAACTCCCTTCCCCTGATGCGGGCTCCTTGAATATATTTAAGGTGGGGGATGGGCATTAGAGTCAGAGGATCATGGGAAAGTGGAGTTGAGGCCACAGATCAGCTCAGCCATGATCTTATCCTCTGGCGGGATAGGCTCAAATGGGCTGAATGGCCTGCTCCCAGTTCATATGTAGCTGCCCTGCCATCTTTTGGTTCAGATTCTGACCTTGGGGATAGATGAATACCAAGAATATGCAAATTGAAGCCTGGAGGAGGGCCAGTTTGTGAGATGGTTGACAGGAGTGATGCCTTGTGGCCTCTTGCTATACTCTCCATTTTTAGAGAGATTCCAGTCACTTCCCCACAGCTGATATTGGAAGAATGGATCTGGAAAGTTCTTATTCCGCTTTCCCATGCGTCCACCCCCCCACCCCTGTTCTTCAATACTGTAGTGAGATTGGGGGTTTTCTAATTGAATTCGGGGCAGTTCCTGAATTGAGAGAGTTTGGAAGATTATCACTGGGACATCAAGAATTTCCCCATCTATTTCTTTTGATATCCTGGGCCTGGACCCATCACAGAATCACTACAGTGTGAAATCAGGCCATTCGGCCCATCGAATCCACTCTGACACTCCAAAGAGCATTCCACCCAGACCCACCCCACTATCCTATCCTCTGTAATCCTGCATTTCCCATGGCCAACCAACCTAACCTGCACATCTTTGGACTGTAGGAGGAAGCTGGTGCATCCGGAGGGAACCCACACAGACACAGGGAGAATGTGCAAACTCCACACAGACAGTGACCTGACCCAGGTCCATGGGGCTGTGAGGCAGCAGTGCTAACCACTGAGTCACCGTGTCACCCCCATCCTGCACACTCCTCAATGATCATTTTCTCCATTATCTTTTTCTAAAAAAACTTGTATTCAATCCAGTAAACCCCTCCCCAAGGGGGTGATAAGAGGAAGTGCAGGGTTATAGAGGAAAGGCAGTAGGGTGGGGTTATTTAAGACTATAAGAAATAGGAACAAGAGTAGGCCATTCGGCCCCTTGAGCCTGCTCCACCATTCAACAGGATCATGGCTGATCCAATGCTGCTCATGTCCATGTAGAACATGGAACATAGAACAGTACAGCACAGGAAAGGGCCCTTCAGCTCATGATGGTGTGTCTAACATGACACCAAATTAAACTAATCCCTTCTGCCTGCTCTCGGTCCATACCCCTCCATTCCTTGCATATTTGTGCTTATCTAAAAGCCCCTTAAACGTCCCTATCGTATCTGCCTTCACCATCATCCCTGGCAGCGCATTCCCAACTCCTACCACTCTCCGTGTAAGAAAGCGGCCCCTCACATCTCCTTTGAACTTTCCCCCTCTCACCGTGAATGCATGCCTCCTAGTATTAGACATTTCAACTCTGGGAAGAAGATTGTGCATCTCATAATTTTATAGACTTCATGTCTCCCCTCAGCCTGCACCACTTCAGGGAAAACGACCCAAGTTTTTCTAGCCTCTCCTTATAGCTCATACCCTCTAATCCAGGCAGCATCCTGGTAAACCTCTTCTGCATCCTCTCCAAAGCCTTCACATCCTTCCTGTACTGTGGCAAATAGAACTAAACACAATACTCTTAAGTGTGGCCTAACCAAAGTTTTGTAAAGCTGCAGCATGACATCCTGACTCTTGTACTCAAATCCCCGACCAATAAGGGCAAGCATGCCACATGCCTTCTTTACCACCCTATCTACTTCTGTGGCCACTTTCAGGGAGCTATGGACTTATTTTTTCTTTATTCATTAACGGGATAGGGATGTCGCTGGCTAGGCAGCATTTATTGTCCATCCGTAATTGCCCAGAGGGCAGTTCAGAGTCAACCACATTCCTGTGGGTCTGGAGTCACGTGTAGGCCAGACCAGGTAATGATGGCAGTTTCCTTCCCTAAAGGACATTAGTGAACCAGATGGGTTTTTCCCGACAATTGGCAATGGGTTCATGGTCATCATTAGACTCTTAATTCCAGATATTCAAATTCCACCATCTGCCGTAGTGCGATTCGAACCCAGGTCCCCAGAACGTTATCTTGGTCTCTGGATTAACAGCCCAGCGATAATACTACTAGGCCATTGCGTCTCCTATGTGTGAACCCCAAGATCCCTCTGTACATCAATGCTATACAAGGTCCTGTCATTAACTGTATACTTTTCCTTAACACTTTATCTCCCAAAGTGCAGCACCTCACACTTACGCGGATCAAACTCCATCTGCCATTTCTCTGCCCATATCTGCAACTGATCTATATCCTGCTGTACCCTTTGACAACCTTCTATACTACCCGCAACTCCACCGATCTTTATATTGTCTGCAAACTTACTAACCCACCCAACTACATTTTCACCCAAGTCATTTGTAGATTTCACAAACAGCAGAGGTCCCAGTACAGATCCCTGCAGGACGTCACTAGTCACGGACTTCCATCCTAAAAAACACCCTTCCACCATTACACTCTTGTCTTCTCTGGGCAAACCAATTCTGAACCCATGCAGCCAAGTCACTGTGGATCCCACGCATCTTAATCTTCTGGATAAGCCCCCCATGAAAGCCCACCTCGTTGAAAGTCTTACTAAAATCCATGTAGAGAACATCCATTGCTCTACCCTCACTGATCATCTTCATCACCTCCTTGAAAATTTTAGTCAAGTTAGTAAGACATGACCTGCCCTGCACAAAGCCATGCTGACTGTCCCTAATTAGGCCATGCTTTTCCAAATGCACATAAATCCTATCCTTAAGAATTCTCTCCAATAGGCTCCCAAACACCTATATGAGACTCACTGGTCTGTCTTTTCCTGGATTATCCCTATTTCCCTTCCTGAGCAGAGAAACAGCATTAGCTACTTGCCAGTCCTCTGGGACCTCTCCAGTGATTAGCGAAGATACAAAGATCTTGGTCAAGGCCCCAGCAATCTCCTCTCTTGCCTGTCTTAGTAACCTGGGGTGGATACCATCGAGCCTTGTAGACTTATCCAAATTAATGCTCTTCAAGACACCTAACGCCACTTCTTTCTTGATCTCAAAGTGCCCGAGCATATTAGCATGCTCCACACAAATCTCACTATCCTCCGTATCCTTCTCCTGGGTGAATACCAATGCACAGCACTCATTTAGGATCTCACCCACATTGTCTGCCTCCAAACACAAGTTCCCTCCTTTATCCTTGAGTAGTCCTACCTTCTCCCTATTTATCTTCTTGTTTTTAATGTACCTACAGAATGCCTTGGGATTCTCTTTAACCTACTCGCCAAGATCATTTCATGGCCCCTTCTTGCTCTCTCAATCCCCTGCTTGAGCTCTTTCCTGCTTTCTTTATATTCCTCATGGGCCCTGTCTGAGGTCAGCTTCCTAAACCGTACACATCCATTTTCCTGCCTGTTCCCTGTCACCCTTGACTCCCCGACTGTTCAAGAATCTCCCTGTCTCAGCCTTAAATATTCGCAAGGACTCTGTCCCCACAGCTCTCTGTGGCAAGGAGTTCCAAAGACTCACAACCCACTGAGAGAAGAAATTCCTCCTCATCTCAGTCTTAAATGAGTGCCCCTTAATTCTGAGACTAGGCAGATGAGGAAGTTTTTGATGTGCCAAAGATAATCGCCCACTCTCTTGATCCAGGAACTATTTGTACAGCTCCACGAAGAGTTGGTGCAGGCTGGCGAGTTCTAACGGGCTCTTCCTGTGCTGACAGGTTTTCTAATCAGGTCTTTGTCCTTACATGGGGGAATACACTGTAAGGGGTTAGAGATATGGAGTATGGTGAGTGATGGACACTAGTCCCAGAGATGCCTCACGGGGAAGAGGGCAAAATGCCAACAGTGGTGGGAAGATGCCCTTAATTACCCACTCACATGGCTCAATTGGCTTTTAGACAAGAGGACATCTGCCCATGACCAGCATCGTGGCACTGGCTCTCCACCAGCTCTTGCCATCTGTGGCCTCTGCCTGGAAAGCTGGGAAAATCTGTTCCAATGATCCCAGTATGAGGTGCATTTGACTGACCAATGATGTCAGTGCAACCCTTCTTCTATAGTCTGGTACCTGCTGGGATTAGAAACATAGAAAATGGGGGCGAGAGGAGGCCTTTTGGTCCCTCCAGCCTGCACCACTATTCAATATGATCATGGCTGATCATCCATCTCAATCCCTGCTCTGGCTTTCTCCCCATACACTTTGATCCTTTAGTCCTAAGAACAATATCTAATTCCCTCCTGAGAACATTCAATGCTTTTGGCCTCAACTTCTTTCTATGGTAGAGAATTCCACAGGTTCTCCATTGCCCCTGTCCTGTGAGGGTTTGGTGGGGTGATGGGGTGTGGGTCCTACCATTGCCCCTGATGTGCAGGGGCGTTGATGGGGTGCAGGTCCTGCCATTGCCCCTGATGTTCAGGGGGGTTGATGGGATGTGGGTCCTGCCATTGCCCCTGATGTTCAGGGGGGGTTGATGGGGTGCGGGTCCTGCCATTGCCCCTGATGTTCAGGGGGGTTGATGGGGTGTGGGTCCTGCCATTGCCCCTGATGTGCAGG